AGCTATTTATAAAGGATAAATTGCCTTTTATTTTTTTTTTTTACAGATGGGGGAACTGAGGTGCAGAATAATTAGAAGCCAATCAGCAGGTCCAATGTGGAGCTGAAAATAGACCCCAAATCTCCCGAGTCTCAGTGCCATGTTCTCACTGCTCCTCTGCCAAGGTGGGAAATGGTAAAACTCAGCTGTTGGTGCCTTATCCCCTGTGTCTGTTATTCACATGTTTTCCCAAACCAGTTCTTTTTACCTTTGATATTTCATGGACAACCTCTTAAGACAGTCAAATAAGTGAAATAAGTTTAATAAGTCAAATAGTTCAAAAAACCTCTGAGACAGCCCAGGTGGGCCCAGACCACCTGTTCTAGTATAAACCATTGCAGGTCAGTGGTTATTTCACCAAACTATAAAAATCATATCATAGCTCACCCTTAAATTAAAATTATATCGTAGCTCACCCTTAAATTAAAATTATACCGTAGCTCACCTTTAAATTAATTTTTTCAGGCTTTCCAAGGTATCTTAAAATGAATTTATATTATTTCTTTTATGTCTACAAGCACCTAGTCATGGGTTTGCTCCCCTTTTACAACAGATTTTTGTGGTTGCATGGAAAATTCACCAAAGCATGGAAAATTCACCAAAGCACCGTGAGCACCCCACAGGTATCACACACACAGTCACATCACAATGATTCACCATTTCCCTACATAACAATACTGGATGGAAACCTCCCTTGAAGGGCAGGAAAATGTAGGTAGAGGTGCTTGATTTTGGAAATAATTCCTACAAAGGGCTTCCAGTGGAGCGTTGTGATGCTGAGGGCAGCGAGTTCAGTCGCCCAACTCGATTAAAATCGCTCCCATTCGGAATTCCCCTCCCCGTTTTTGTGGGTTTGCAATCATTTCTTCCAGTTTGGAGGGAAAAAAAAAAAAAACAACACCTGTTTTCTGTCCCCTGCCACCGAGTGAAAACCCCTTTTCTGATGGGAAAATGAGTCAGGTCATGCCTGGGCAGGGAGGTTTTGGTGGGTGGCACAGGCTCGGTCCCTGGGGAGCACTTGAACCTGCCTGCCCAAGCGGAACCTGTGGAGCACAGGAGTGGAAAACAACCACCTGGATCAGATTCAGCCAGGGCACCAACTGTTCCCGTGGAAGATAAAGGGCAACCCCCGGGAGAGAGGGGGGAAAAAACCCCACAACAAACAAATCCCTTCCCTGAGCAGCTGCGGGAAGGAAACGCGGTCGGGACGGGGAGGTGAGTTGGGCACTTGGGTGGTGGTTTTTTGGGGGTTCTCTGGGATGAACTCGAGCACCAGGAGAGGAAAACTCTTCCACTCGTTGTAAACAACAAACTTCTCGCAGAGGAACTCGTCAGGAACTTGTTTTCAGCTACACCCTGGCTCCTCTGGGACTCTCCCGTGCCGGATTCCGGGCTTGGCCGAAGGGAAAACAGATGGGTGCAATTATGGAATAACAGGTGAGGAACAACAGCCACAACGGGCCAAAAGCTCGTGTTTCAGGTGAGTTGCAAGGTGAGGGAGAAAAGCAGGCCCTTCTTAAAAGTCTGGGCTCATTACTATAATCATTAAAGGGGTTTTTGAGTGGTTTTTTTGTTTTTCTCTTAAAAGACCTGTTGGAGGGTAAGTCTGTGTGGCACTGACCTGCCACACTCTCATCACTGTGGGGGCCCTGAAAAACCTCATCTCCTTTTTGCCTCTCTGCTCTACAAGTTATCTGTGGAATGGTCTGATCTCGCTGCAAGTTTTAGGAAACACAACCCCAGCAGCACCACGGCTGGAGAATCATCACCTTCTTTCTAGAGACTTCTCAATGAAAGGAAGATAAGATCTACTTTGCCTGCTTTCAGTTGTGGTCTGACTCAACAGGAGAAAAAAAGGGATGTTTTTTACATCCTCACGTGACTAAGAACGAGCATTTTAAGGTCACGATCCTCCAAGGGCAGACCCACAAATCAACGTTCTTCAGGATGTTCCTCCTGAGCTTGTGAATGTTCAGGTGCTCATTCAGTGACCAAACTGAAAGCAGGGACATGGGTAAATGTCTGATGGTGAGTGATGGGCAGTATGGGGAATTTAATTGCTTTGTAGGGGAAAAAAAACCCTCCTAAAAATCCCCATATGTAATGGGGGACTCCATTATTGTGACAGACACTCAAACATGAGGACAGGCTTTATCAGAGTTTACATTTTCCTTCCGGTGTAAGGCATAAAGGTACAAACTCTATCTCCTGTGGGTTTTTACTTGTCTAAAATTAACCTGTGAGAGGTGCTCTGACTGTAATTCTTCAGAAGTTCATCGGGTTTTCACCCAATCTCCAGTTCATTAAAGTGCCCTCAGGACTCAGTGACTTCAGTGACATCAAAAAGCCACATTTTCTGTGTATTAAAATGCGACAAGATCACAGATTGTCCCAGAATACACTGAAAAAAAATTGGGATATGGAATCCCACTTCAAATAAATCCATTTCAAAACTTCTGTCCAGACACATTATCACCAAAAAAAATAATAAAAAAAGTTATTTTTGCTAAAAGCAAACATTTTTTCTACATGTTAGACGTGCTTTTCTCAGTACTGTAGTTATTAAAATTAATTAGAAGCACAGTGTTAGAATCATGGAATGGTTTGGGTTGGAAGGGACCTCAAAGCCCATCCAGTGCCACCCCTGCCATGGACAGGGACACCTTCCACCAGCCCAGGTTGCTCCAAGCCCCGTCCAACCTGGCCTTGGACACTTCCAGGGATCCAGGGGCAGCCACAGCTTCTCTGGGCAACCTGGGCCAGGGCCTCCCCACCCTCCCAGCCAGGAATTCCTTCCCAGTATCCCATCTATCCCTGCCCTCTGCCAGTTTGAAGCCATTCCCTGTGTCCTGTCCCTCCATCCCTTGTCCCCAGTCCCTCTCCAGCTCTCCTGGACCCTTCTCCAGGCTGAACTAATCCCCACTCTCTCAGTCATCTCAGGCTTAAACCTGCCCCGGGCTGTATTCGTGCCTTCGAGCGTCCCTCCCGGGAGAGAGGAGGGAGTTAAATCCCAATAAAGAGCCCCAATAAAGCCCGTGGGTGACACTGTCGCCCTCCTGGTGGGACGGCTAAGCGGGTTTCCTAAAGAGCCTTATTCCAATCCTTGTTTTGACATCATCGCTCCGCTTTCAGTCTGGAGCAAGAGCAGCATCTAGTGCTCGAATCCTGCCCTGCACCGCTTCCCGCTGCTTCCCATCCACGCCGGGCTTCCTATTTCCATGGCAACGACCATGGAGCCGGTCCCCATGCGGGAAACAACGACCCGAACCGGTGCCGGCCCTGCCAAGCTCTTACAAAAAAAAAAAAAAGGTGGAAGAATTAAGGAGAGGAGGAGCTGAACCACTCCCGAGAGCTGAGCGAGAGCGACAGGCAGAGCTGCCCACCTGGTGTTTCACCTGGAATGTCCTTTGCCTCGGGAAGGGTTTGGATCTGGTTTATCCGAGGGGAGGAAGCAGCTCGGTGCGTCCCGGGGGTTCCCCTGGGTCACAGCAGAGCAAAACTGGGAGGGGAGAGAAGCTGAGGTCGAGTCCTTTAAACAACTCGTGGGATGCTCCAGTCACTCTCCTGAAGGAAGGGATGGGTGTGGGTGAGGCAGGGACAGCCCCTGGAGATCCACAGAGGTAAAGAGATCCACCTGCATCCCCTGGAGATCCACAGGGGTAAAGAGATCCATGTGCAGCCTCTGGAGGAGCAGAGATCCACCTGCAGCCTCTGGAGATCCACAGGGAGCAGAGATCCACGTGCAGCCCCTGGAGGAGCCCCCTGGATCAGGGGGATGCCCGAAGGAGGCTGTGACTCCCTGGGAAGCCCATCCTGGAGCAGGGGCATGGCAGGACCTGCGGATCCGTGGAGAGAGGAGCCCAGGCTGGAGCAGGAAGGACTTGTGACCCTGTGGAAGGGACCCACACTGGAGCTGTTCATGAAGGACACTGGGTGCACAGGGACACTGTGGGGACAGGAACACCAGGGGCACAGAGACACCGGGGCACAGGGACACTGTGGGGACAGTGACAATGAGGGGACAGGAACACTGGGGACACAGGGACACCACAGAGACACTGTGGGCACAGGGACACTGACAGTGGCACCAAGCGGCACTGGGACACCACAGGAACATCGGGCACAGAGACACTGGTGGCACAGGGACACTGGTGGTGACACCGCAGTGACACTGAGGGCAGGTGACACTAAGGGAACAAGGACACTGGTGGCACAGTGACACTGGTGGTGACACCGTGGTGACACTGAGGGCAGGTGACACT